GGGGGGGGGGGGGGGGGGGGGGGGGGGGGGGGGGGGGGGTTATATCGCCATGAAGATTCAGATTGTCCATTCTACTTCGAACACCATTAATTTTGCTTTGATTCGTACACACAAAGAAATAGCTTTCCATCCACACAGTTTTTGTATGTGAGAAAAAAACAGTTCATGCGTTTGAGCAGAGAAACTTCCCTCGTCCTAAGAGACGGAAGGTTGCGAGGTTACCAACGGTATCACCCCAGACAGCAGTCTTGTGTGACCAAAATACAATCTGTGTTGGAATAGTTTGCGGCTCTCGCGTCTTGCCAATCGGTCGCCTGAAAAACGCCTACGCCGAAAAAGAGCTACCCGTCCCACCGCCACCAACACTGTCAACACCACCAGAGTGGAACACCTGCTGTTAAACACGAGCCCATCGTGGTGAAGCACATTGGCCTAGGCGCGAAAGGGCCAAGGGGCCGGCCGATAGCCAGTTCCTCGAGTCAGGAGGTACTTTCCAGACTAAACAGTTTCAAGTCTGCACCAACAAAAAACAAAGGGCCTCGCACCTTGCTGGAGAGCACGATCGTCACGGGCACGTTCGCCTGGCTGTAGGAGGCGTTGCTGCACAGCGCCGGGGTCCGGTAGAGGAACTCGTGCCCCGCGGGCAGCAGGCAGCAGCGGTACCACAGGTCGGCGTTGAGGTATGCCGTGGCCGGATTGGCCGCCGTGTTCGCCTCGGCGTGAGTCCACTCGCTGTCCACGCCAGTGCTGGCGATGAGCGACTTCGATGTGCGATAGACCTGCGCGGTATGTATCGCGCGGGAAGGGGATGATTGCGACAACGACACTTATCAGTGAAGGCTGGCAGAAAGGACGGGTCTGTTATGACAAGCCGCGGTTGATACGTACGTCACCACGTGCGCTCGGAAACGATGATTGCACTACACTACACCTCTGCCGTCACCAAGAAGAAATCAGCCTGCGTCTGCCATGCAAGCCCTCGTCTCTCATCTCATCGGAAACTACCCCACTCCGACATCGTCATCAACGCGATACAAACGTCAAAACAGCCATGCCTACTGCTGTACTCCTCACCAGCCCCATGGTCCCGGCGATCGGGCGAACGACCCCGCCCCGACCCCCCAGGTTGCGGGACAAGGCGTTCGAAACGCCCGAGACCGACGACAGAGTTCCAGCCGAAGCGTGTCTGAGCAGGGAGCTGACCCCTCGAAAGGTAGCTCTGAAGGTGGAGGAAGGGCCCTGCGTGTGACGAGAAAGCAAGAGTTCGGGCAAAGATGCGGTGCTGTCGAAGGATGGGACGAAAGCAAGAGGGAAGACGGCGGGGGAAAGCTACAACTTCGTGAATGGTAGTACAGCAGTAGTACGGGTTATGCGACCTCCATCGCCATCCGTAGTTTATTAACTGAAAAGATACGCCGTCGACGCCGATGGTTTCGTTTCCTTCTTTCCTTGTGGTTTAAAAGCAGAAAAACCCTTATCTAGCTGAGGCCTGTTCGGCAGGAGGGATGAGTCTACCGCTGTGTGTCAGGATGTAACATGGCACCTGAGGCATCGCCTTGATGGGCATGGCGAACAGGTCGTACACCCCCTTGCCCCACTCGGACAGCAGCGTTGTCGGGCTCCCGAGCGCCTCCAGCGACCCAACCACCGCCAGCGACCGCAGCAGTGCGTCAACCGCGTAGTTGGAGGCAATCTGCTCCGCTATCTCGTCGGGCCGTGCGAGCACCCCGCGTAGCGAAACAGGTCTGAACAGCAACGGCGACTTGTCCAGGGCCAAAAATACCTGCGCCCGCGGTACAAGGGAAGGGGCCACGGGAATGAGTCGGTTGCTGCTGGTCCCGCCAAGCAACATTGTCCGAGGACCGAGCGTTCTTTGCACGTGGAACGAAGTTCAATCCCCCGAAACAAAAAAATTTCATTGCGGCTGCCGTCACCAAGTGTTGAGAAAAGCGATAAAAAAAAGGTGTACATGTGGGTCATTGCGACCGTCGGAGCCTATCCAACGTTGATTGACGCCACACGAAGTAGCCGCTCACAAGACTAACAAGATTCCTGTAACGGCCCCGGTCCCCTAACATCTGTAGAAAAAAAAAAAAAGGGACAGATTGACTGCCATGCCACCGCTGAGTGGCTGTTCCCAGAAATCAAGAACATGAGGGAACCACCCGACTGTGACAAAGAAAAAAGGTGGAAATCGTCCTCGGTGGCCGTTGGTGAGACCTGAACCTCCAACAAAATGTTCATCTCCACCTGACGTCATGTTACTAAATACGATCAACTTCAAACGGAGCGGTCACCTGCTTCCCCGGTATGTAGCCCTGCACGGTGGCCCTCACGACCAGCGCGCCGATATCCACTCGCTGGATGAACAGCCGCGGGACCACGTTTGCGCCCAGCGCCGGGGGTAGCAGCTGGGGGCTCCTCTCGGACGGGAGGCCTCCCTGCGCCGCCGAGCCGGGTCCTCGATCATTTGCCGACGCCGCGAACGGGTACGGCGATGAACGGTCGCCAGGACTTGCTGCTCCGATGCTGATCGGTGGGTGCACATTTTATCGATGGCGGTGTAGAGGAGAGCATGTTTGAGTCGCACGCGCCCCCGTCATTCTGGGAGCAAGCGCTTGGGACTAGCAGGTGCTTGCTTCAGATATATCATGAGCATAAGGGTAGCACTCGTGATGGTGGAAGCACGGGGTAGGGAGTGGGCGACCGAAACGCGGCTACCGCAAGCAAGTCAACCAACACCTTTGAAGGACAAAACAGCTTAACCATGAAAAGAGCACCCCGTTTGCGCTCACCCCAACCTCTCCAGCAACAACAGCAGCGGCGGTAGCAGCGAATCCTCGAAGCAGACATCGATCGGAGCGGAGTGGATGGACACCTTCTCTAAGTACGACGGCACTCGGCTGTCTTCCCAAGACTCGGCTAGAACCTGCGAAAACACGCGTTACGAAAGAAAAGAGGTGGTTACCGCAGGATACAAAAAATTTTGGGGCATGTCGGTGTCGGTAACTTGCAAAAGGAACATTTGATGCAGCCCGCATTCCCGTCGTTCGCGACGCCCTGACGACGGAGGAGGAAAACTCCGAATGGCAAACCAAAGCCCATGCTGCACTACTGTTCACTCAACAACACCAAGACTAATCCCCATAGCACAAACACATGCTGGTGATGGCATCATACCCCCCTCTGGCCAAACGATGCCTGCAGCCTCACGAGCGAGAGGCACACAATCAACCGATGGTCTTGTCCGCGGATGACCGAAAAATGGTCGTCCGGCCAACGCAAGCTACGAAACCGCCTGACACTTACGAGGGACATGGCGAGGCGGCAGCCTCCCTTGACCTGGTCATCTCCAGGCATGCCCATGCCAATTTCGCTGACCTCAACTAGAGGGCCCCCCTCCCGGAAGCAGAAGATCACCGGAAGCCTATGGCCGGCCACGTGACTATCGATCTGAGTGCCGTACGACAGACAGGTGGGCAGACAGGCGCACGCAAGCAAGGCGGTTTGGTGGGCGGCGGAGGACCGCGAAAAAGTGTTCGCCGGTAATTAAAATCATCGTGGCCAAACCCAGCCCCGCCACAAACGGCTTTCATGACCATCGCAGGTACGCAAGCCTCGGTTAACACTGCAGCCACAACCGCGCAAGACGGGAGGAAAAATTGAGATAACACTCCTCTTTCTTCCTGCCAAAAGGAACGTCAGTTGTGCGACTAAACATATACCAACCTGAAGAGTGCCCAGGCAGACGTCGATGCCAACCCGGTCCTTGAGATGCCACGACCGCTCCAGGTCAAGCGACGACATCCCGGGCCGCACCGCCGGAGCAGCTCGCCATAGCCGCACCGAGCTCGCGTCGACGAACACGCTGACGATCGCGGGTATCGCCGCCGCCGGGAGGTGGGCCGACGCGCCGTCGGACGGGAGACCGCCAGGCTCCGCCTGGGACGGGCGCAAGAGAAACGGGCGATCGGAACGCAGGAAGAGGGTTCGCTTGGGTGGACTGCCTGCACAAAGAAAGTATCGTTATTACGAAACAAGACCAGGGGGGGAGGGGGGGGGGGGGGGGGGGCACGCAGACCAGACCCTAACCCCAACCCCAACCCCAACGCCAACTTAGCCATTTCTATACTTCATCCAGTATGTTTGCTTACTTAGAAAACCCTGCGTAGACTACTGAGTTGGGCGGCACTAGTGGACGAAACCGTGCTAAGGAATCTTACCTCTGCTGAAAATCAAGGGGCTGCCGCAATGTGTACAAGGCAATGGAGGTTGTAAAGAGTTCTGGTCGGCCGCTTTCACAAATCGTCCTTCTCTTGCTCGCGTGCCGCACAATACTGGCTGGCTGTTTAACGCGGCGCGTTTCTCTCGCGACTACTGCACCGCGCCTTCGGCACGTGCCGCGGTACGTTGAGACCCGAGCAAACCATAGGGCGTGTTTCCGCATCCTGCAGGACAAGCTCCCTGCATTCGTGAATGGACGCCCCCCCCCCGAAAACGAAGCATGCATTCATCCCAACCAACAGAAAAAGAAAAACCAGCGACTTGAAATGGCATAGAGAGATTGACACACCCACGTCCCGCCGACCCAGCCGTCCATCCCGCCGAGCCTATCCGACGCCGCCCTTGCGGCCGCCGCCGTCGAGTTTCCTCCCTGGCCGTTCGCGGCAAATGCCTGGAGGTTGGAATCGTCCAAGAGCTGAAGGGACACCCCAGACACAGTGACCACCACGTGTTGCCCCAGAGTCGAGGCCCATCGCCCTAGGACCCCTCTACGCGCGCCAACGGGCGGAGATTTGAATTATCCGGGAGCAGGTGGAGCGAACGTTAGCGCACAACTCTACAAGAGGAATGAAAAGGCATCTTCAGCTGCCGGTCAAAAAACAAAGCACGGTGCTTCAACGTGGGCGAAGAATGGCCAACCAAAAAGCGCGCGTACTTTAAGGGCTCCACGAGAAGCTTCCTGTTTCAAGGCATTAAGTTGTCTTTTCTTTTACACCTAAAAGCCCTGCATTCCAGAACAAGCCCGCAGCCTTCTCGTCGACGAGATCACACAAAAAACACGCGGGGTTGTAAATGTCCCACCTGCTTTCGAGATGATGGTTGTCTCGAGCGCCGCTTTCTACGACACCTACACAGTCGGCGGCCGCCCCCTCGAACCCTCCCTCCGCGAAGGACATGACGAAACCGCCGGCACGCTCCACGACGTGGACCTGAACCTCACGAGCTGACCCAGTCCCAAAGCCCTTGCGCCCGTCGTCGCGACCGCCGCCACCTTCGCCGCTGCCACCTTCCGCGATCCCACGGTGCCCCCAGCTCTCCTCGTTGCTTCCGTTTTGGCCGTCGAAGCGCAGAACCTGCACGCCGCGAGCCACCCAGAGCGGGTCCGACCACGACAAGAACACGTCGCCCTTGGCGCCGCCCTTGCACTGGAACCAGTGCTGCAGCGTCGCGTCGCCGCCCAGCTTGCCGGGGGCGCGCGCCGCCTTGCGCAGCGCTGGGCTGCCGCCGGGTCCGGACACGCAGCTCCTCCGCGCGTCCAGCGCTGCACCTGTTGCTGCTGCTGCTGCTGCTGCTGCTGCTGCTGCTGTGCCGGGTCTTGCCTGCACGGGAGAGCTCGGTGCCGACGACATCGGCGTCGGGGTGTCGACGACGCCTCGAGAGTCTTCAGACCATCGCCGGCTGTGCCGGCCCGTCATGCTTGCCGGAGGAGGAGGATGATGATGGTTGCGTGACGATCGCGGCGCTGTTGACGTACTGCCCCCGCGCCCGCCGCCGCCGTTGCTGCCGTTCGCGTCTCTTGTCGGCTCTTTCCGCCACGAGTGCTCCACCGTGCCGCCCGGAGCCACTTCCACCAACGCGCCGCAGTCGAGCAGGAGGGTCACGGTGTCCGTCGACCTGTTGCAGATGGTGAGGTCGGGCTGGGGGTCTCGGTAGATTAGAACGTGGCGGGCGAGGGGCGCCGCCGACGTCGGCTCGGCGCCGGGGGGTTCGACGGCGATGTAGACGCGTACTGCGCGTTGCCCGCCGCCCGGTACCGTGAGCGAGGACGGATGGGAGGCGAGGGACGAGCCGGCGGACGGCTCGCACAGAGAAAAGACGGGGAGCTCGTTCGCGCCGCAGCCATCCTGGCTCCACTTCGTTGCTCCCGTGCTCGCCGCTTCATTGCCGGCCGGCCTGGCGGTCGGAGGAGCACCCCGGCCGTCGACCGCACCACTGTCGGCGGCGGAAGCTTGGTCCGCGCGGTCGTCCCACCCAAACGCCATCTCTAGGTCGGCGGAGAAGCCGGCGGGGTGTGCCGAAGACGCCTTGTAGCTCCCGCTAGACAGTATCCGTGAGAGCCTGCCCAGCAGTCCGGGCCGGGGAACGTTCTCGAGAGGGAAGCCTCTTCCCTCACCCGCCCTCTCTCCTTCTCTTCCCGCGGCTGATTGCGGGAAACCATGGTGGCTGGCGTCCAGTCCGGGCAGTGCTCGCTCGCCGGGGATGGCGAGCAGGTTCATGCGGCTCCCGCTCCCCTCGGGCGTGAGGCGGACGCGGCACATGGGGAGGGCCTCGTTCCGTGCCCCACCTCCGGACTTGTCCTCGGCTGCTACGTGGGCGCCGCCAAGCAACGAGAGCGAGACCGGCACGCCCGTGGCGTTGTGCACCACCACCCGCGGGTACAAGGCCAGTCGGATCAGCTCCACCCCCCCCAGGACGACTTCCCTCTCGAGGGTCGCCAACACAGGGAGCACCACGCCGCTGCTCGCCTCCCACGGGACGAGGACGAGCTCGTTCAACTCTTCCGCCAGGCTGACCTTGAGCTTTCGGGAACGCCTTTCGGCCGGCGTTGGCGGCGTGGGACCCCCGGGAACTTCGTCGGCACTTCGTCCCGGAGGAACGAGAGACGACCACCCTGCCCGCACCGAGGCAGTGGCCGGCGACGGAGAGGCCTCCTCGCGAGAATCCAGGCCGATATCTAGCGATACGTGGGGCAGAAGGAATGGGATGGAGAACCCTTCGCTGCCATGAAACATGTCCCACGCGCTGTGGCAGCTCTCGGCCCCGGCGCGGAACATGCGAGAAACGCGGGCGACAGCGCGACGGCCGCTGCCGGCGTCGCCGCCGCCGCCATCGACCGACACCGACTCGCTTCCTCTACGGCGGAGGAGCGGCGACGTCGCTCGCTCTTCCTCCTCCTCCTCGGTCTGCGCACGCTCCGGCTCGCCACGCTCCGTCACGGGAGCCTCTGCCGGCTGCTGCGCGGATGGCTCCCCGTCGGAGCCAAGCAGCGGCCTGATGAAGTCCGCCCGCAGGGACAACGGCACCGAGGTGTGATTCTCCACGCTGAGGCCCGAGTACACGCGGAGCGACAGCGACGGCCAGTTCGCGTCTAGGAGACGCGAAGCCACTACCACCAGGGGGCTCAAGATGTTGTCCGATAGGGCCCGGCTGTGGAGAGGCAGCCAGGTGGACTCGCACCTGCGGGACAGGAGCTCCGCCGGGACGGAAACGAGGAATGGTGCGGCCTGGCATGCCGCCGTCCCCGTCGATGCCACCGCCAAGTCGTAGTCCACGAAGGGCCGCTGACAAACCGCCGTGCGCCCTCCGGGCCGTATCGCGGAGGTCGTGCGCGACAGGCTGTAGTTGGCCCGGGGGTCGTCGTTGCGATCAGCGGTGTGCCCAGTCCCAGCCCCACCTTGTTCGTCCACCGCTTCGGCAAGCGTAGCAGGCGGCTGTTCCGGCCACCCGCCGCCGCCGCTCCGGTGCTTCAGTACGGCCCGCATCGGTATCGAGGAGCCGTTCCACACGAGCGCCATCGGGTGCAGGTCGATTCTCATCTGACCCAGGTTACCGCGGTGGCCATTGGCCGCGCGCGAGGCTTGCCTGGAGGCCACGCACCAGAAGGCGAACCCCGAGATCCCGGGGTCCGTGCTGGCGCAAGAGATCAGAGCCAGGAAAACGAACGGCCTCGCCTGGACCCACTCGGACTGACGGGTTACCTCCCAGGGGCTACCGCTCGAGTCAACCTCTATCTCCTCGCGCCCCTGGAGCAGCTCATCGTCAAGCCCGCGCCTATCGTAGCTACCCCCGTCGCCCAAACCATCAGCGTCTCGTGCCGCCGCCGGATGCCCCCCCAAATCCTCGGTGGCTACCGGGGGTGGACCCACCGACCCGACAAACGCGGCGGCATCGGGAGTGGATAACCTGAACTCCAACATGAGCTCGGACAGACGCCCCCCTTGCGCTTGCCCCGTCCCCAGGGAAGAAGAAGACGCGGTGAGTGCCGAACAGGATACTGGGTGAAGGCTTCCGTCAGCTCGCCCCGAGGTACTACACGCTTCGAGGCTGAGGCCTCCCCGTGTTCCTGTGGGCTCGACGAGACACCGGCCGGCGTTGCCCACTCCTGCGGACGTCACCCAAGCCACCTGGCCCACAACGGCAAGAGATCAAAATAAACACACTATTCGCGAAAGTGCCGTCTTGTCTCCACAATAAAACACTCGCAGCACTGTCTTAACCACGGAATGCGTAAAAGTCGTTTCATACAGCTGCACGATTGATGAGTTAATGAGACGAGCGTTCAAATATCAGGCTGCACCACGGATATACGCACGCAAATGCTGCCTGTTGTGTCGTTCGCGAAAACAGAACACATGGGTAACACCCCAAAGCCCCCACGAGCAAAACACATACCAAGCCTTTTCCTTCCTCACCTGAATCTCCTGCGGTAGGTGGTTGGTAAACACCCACTCTCCGTGGAATGCGATGCGCGTTTCGAGGCCATTCTTGTCCACCTCCACCCACAAGGGGAGCGTCACCAAGTCACTCTCTTCCTGACCGGCGCCGCGTGCACTCGCGCTCGCACCCGCTTGCCCTTCTGCTTCGGCTCCTCGCAACAAACGCTGCGGGCCAATCAGCCGGAACGGACGAGTTATTGCGAAAAAGGTTCGACGTCAGCTAGAACTAACGGTCAAGTTAGTCGCGAGAGGTGGATAGATTTGACGCTACCAAGCAGTTTCTGCGGCAGTACAAATCGGCTCGAACCGATTAGAGCCACTGGCATTCCGTTAGCTAAGACGCGGTCTTGACGACTCCCGGAAAAGAAATCCGGCTGCATTCGTACGACAAACGCACCTTAAAAGTGCCCACATGATCCACAGGAAAAGGTTCTGTCCACGCTCCATACCAACCCCCACGCTCCGAACCGGCGCCAGCGTATCCACCTCCACTACCTGAGACGCGGTGCAGTGCAAGCCGTAGCATAAGAACGAGCCGTGACGCGTCATCGCCCTTGCGCCCTGCGGCGCCAGCCGCCAGTGTGCGGGGGATGGTCCTCCAGCGGTACAAGGTTTCCTCCCCCGCTCGAAGGAAGAGAGTTTCCGTCGTGGAGACTTGGCCGAACCACAGGTTTCGGTCGGTGTGGTTGGTGATGATGTAGCGCTTGCTGCGCTGCCGTGGGCGGCGTGAAGGCGGCACGGGTGTGGGCACCGCAACCACCGACGGTTTCGCCTCTGCCGCCGTCGTGCTTCGTCGGGTTGCCGGTTCGTCCGAGGGCTTTCGAGTCAGCTCCGCGATGCACTGGTCTATGCACTGCATCGCCGTCACCGACATGCTGACAACGGCGCCGTTCACGTCAACCGCGCCCGACGCGATGGGTCTGAACGGAGACAGCAAGCTTTCCCCCTCGGCCGCCATGCGACCGGTCCCGCCTCGGACGCTAGAGGTCGACACGTCGAGCTTCACCGCGGCGTGCGACAGGAGCGGGAGGCGCAGGAAGTTCGAGAAGTCTTGCACGTCCGCCGCCACCACAGCGCTGCCCCTGGCGGCCACGCTCAGCCACCTCGCCGCCAAGCTCGCCTCGGCGAAGAAGTTGACGTCCGCGATCACGACGCGGACGATTTCTTCCGGCTGCACGAACACGCCCAGTCCTTCCCGGCGTCTAGACGGCGACACGGGCGCCGCCGCCGCCGCTGCCGAAGACGAGCGCGAGATCGCGCCGCCCTCGGTCAACAAGGCAAGCGTCAGCCGCTGCGCGACAAGAGTCGCCGACACGTACGACGGGCCGACGACGGGACCCGAGGGCGAGGACCTGATCGACAAGGTCCGAAGGAGGGCGGAGCTCCAGGCGGAGATAGCGGGGGGCTTGGGGGCGCCGCCAGCGCCCGCCGCCTTGAACCTGAGCCAGGAAGGAACGCGCCAAGAGAGGCGCCACGTGCGGGCGAGGATGGGCTGGGACGGCTCTATCGTGACGCGCGAACCGCCGGCGAGAACGAAGTCGTCCGAAGATCCGTTCGGTGCCTGACACGGTACGCTGAATCGGGTCGCCGCCTAGCACGAAAAGCAAAAGGGTTGCACGAGGGACGATGGAGGTGGAGGTATACTTAATCACACCGGCGAGGTACGACACGAAGAAGGGGAAGAAAGGCAGCCCAGAACGATGTTCTGTCGTACACACACGCGCGAGGTTTCCGTCAAAAGGATCGCAACAGACAGAGACATAAAAAAATTGTTGACATTCCTAGAAAACAACACCCTCATCCAAGGGCCCAGAAAATCGACGACTGGGCAAAGTCGTCATCACTCAACACCTCAACAACAGCAACGGCATGATTCGTGATTGCTGGCGCAAACGAACTGGCCGTATGTCACGCATTCCCCCGTAAGCAAGAATCCAAAACGGTCACTAACAGCTCACCTTGACCGTTTCCGTCAATGGATCCACGAAGCTGAGCTCCACCTCCAACGAAGTAACAGCCAGCCCTTCCAACAACGGCACGCTCCCGCACAGCGGCAAGCGCGGGAACGCGACCTGGGCCACCCGCCTGAGCCCCCAGTACCGCCACTCGCAGCAGTGCACCCAGCCACCACGACCCTCCTCCTCGCCCTCCTTCCGCCCCCCCGCCTCCTTCTCTTCCTCCGCCACGCCGCTCGCGCCTGCGCCGTCGCTCGAAGCGCCCACCCGCCGCGGACGGCCCCCTTGTGGCGTCGTCCCGACCCCGTAAAACACAGCTTGCCCGGGTCCTGGCTTCACGGCGTCGGCATGCCCGGCGGGCTCCCGACACTCAACGCGATCCAAGGCGGCGAGATCGTCGATCCGCCCTCCTCCGGCCAGGCCCTGCAAGCCGGAGGCCGTCCCGCGAGAGCGTCCACCGCGGCCCAGCTCCACCGCCGTGAGCTCCGCGGCGGTCACCGCCGGCAGGAAGAGGTCGGAGAGGAGCTCGAGGCTGCGCACGTGCAGGGGGGCACACCTCAGGTAGAGCTCGTCCACGTAGACGCCGGCGTGCCAGCCCTGCGTCACGGGGTACTCCGAGGCGGTGGTGTTGACACCAGCGGCAAGGGCGGCGACGCCCCTGGCACTACTAGCCCCGGGCCGAGTTAGGTGGACGTCGACGTCGAAGGGCTTGAGCACGGTGTCGCCCAGCTGGTCGTCGGGTTGAGAAGAAGGGCCAACCCTCGCCCTGTTCTGCACGGTAGCAGCAGAACCCCCAGACTCTTGGCCGCACTTCACCCTGCACTCGACCCGGGATAACCGCGCGAACACCTCGGGGCCCGCCTGCACCCCTCCCTCGCCGCTGCTCCCTCTCGCCGCCGCCCTCATTGCGTCGGAAGGCCAGGTGATCGCCCTCAGGAACACGTGAGAGGTGCTCGCCATGAAAGCGGGCCCGCCGGGGTAGGAGGACAGTTCCAGGGTAACCTGGGACGCTAGAACCCTCACGCTGCCAGACGCGGTCAGGGCGGACTTCTCGAAGTTCGTCGACAATCTCTGTCCCGACGAACTGGCGCACTCGACACCGCCGGCGGCCCCATCGTCGGCTGCGCCGTCGCCGTGACGGGTAGCCGAGTTATGCGGCTTGCTGCTGCTCGAATGGCAGGGCGTGGTGAGCGGCGGTTGGCGCTGAGGGAACAGCACCTCCTCTTCCTCCGGAAAACCCTCCACGAACGGGACGGGCGCGATGTACGCCGTGAACGACCGCAGGATGCTTGGGTTAACGTGGATGTCAAAGGGCTGCACCTGGAGAAGGATCAAAACCGCCCAGGGTTTGCATACAGGAACAGGGCGTTGTTGGTCCGGGGGCGTGATTTTTGGACCACAATACGTGGCGAAGAACGGAGGGGATGGAGAGGCGGGTGAGAGAACGACCACGACACCCGACTTTCACCCAATCATCGCCGAACAACGGCGGCACATGGAGAGGAAGGACTGAGACCGTCGCAACCCTATCCATAATAAATAGTTGTGCAGCAAGGTGTCTGTAATCAAAGCCTCCTTACACCACTATCAAACAACCAACACTTTCACGCTGCTACCAATGGTGCGGGTGCCACACGAAACCGTTCAATGAGTGGGGCGAAATGGCACACCGTGCACGCTGCCAATTCTACCCTCTCACCTGGAGCACAACGTCGAGCTGAGCTTGCCTCGGACCAAGCTTCCCCGATCGGATCTCCGGCACCCGTACTTCCATCCGCAGGAAATCCTTGCCGGATTCTTCAGACTGCCCGGAGCGCCCAAGTACCCGGTACCCGCACCCGCTCCCATCGTTCTCGTTTCCGATCTCGCCAGCAGCCGCCTCAGACCGCGCCGGGCTGTCCGCATCCTGAGACCAGCTGTTTACCGACAGGTGCCTCACCGTGAGGACTCCCCCCCTGGCAAGGCGAACCGAAGCCACATCGATCTCCAAGACCGGCGGGAAAGAGCCGCTCCTCTTGCCGTTCGCCAGCACGAACTGTAGAAGGGGCAGCCGTAGCGATGTCGCAAGGAAGCTGTCAACCTGTGCGTTGTTCGTGGCGCCCCCCACGGGGGCCCCGTGCACAGGATCCTGCGGGTGTCCAGCGATCTGTGGCGCGACGACTGCAGGCGGGAGGGCCCCCGGGTAGTCAGCGGCGACGAAAATCTGCGCAACACGCACGCAGAGATCGAAGTGCGGCTGTTCCAGGTAGAACTGCACGGAGGAGAGCGAGACGTCCTGGCGGCACCGGTCGAATTCGTCGTAGAACATCGCCCACCGCAGGTCGATAGGCGCGCACAGCTGCACGGGTGCCGCCGCCGCGTCCCCGTCCAGTCGCCCCCCCGCGCTAGGCGCCACCGACGTCGGCAAAACCGACCGCCAGTCTTGCAAGAACGCCATCCCGACCGGCCCCACAAATCCGGACATCGCGAGCGTGGTGTCGGGCGCGATGGATGCATCTAACGCTAACGCCGAAGAGGATGCGTGCGACCCGCCCATACCTGCAGGCGACGCCGCGGCGGCGGCAGCCGCGGTGTCCTCCTTGAACGTAACCTTCCCAGCGGACAGGTGAACCCCGCGGGCGCCGTCCGCGAGCGAGGCCAGCAGCACGGCGCTGCAGCCCTGGATGTCGATGTCGTACGACAGGACGGCGATCCGTCTGCGCGGCATGTCGGCTCTTGAACGAAACGACCGGAAGGCGTTCGCCGCGAACCGGTTGTAGTGCCCCATCAGGATGCGGAAGGTCGGGGGGTACCAGGCGAGCATCATGGGGGCCAGCCGCAACGATAGGCTGTTGACGAGCCGGTGCCGCGGCCCCGAGCTCGTGGACACCACCGAAAACGCCTGCGCAGTGGCGCTGCTCGACCCGAGCGCGACTAGAAACGGCTGGACGTACGTGGGTCCGGCCTGGCTGCTTCCGACCGGTCTCTTCCGCGCTGACAGCCAAGCCGAGAACACACCAGGCGCACCGCCATGGCCGACGAAGGCTCCGATCAGTTGCGCCGCTTCGTACGGCAGAGCAGGCGCGTTTCGCGAGGGATTTCGCCTCTGCGTCGCCTCGACTGCCTCGAAACTCATTTGGAACGAGGCTCGGCTGCCGGCCCCCGGCGCGCCGGCAGCGGTTGCGTGCTGTTTCATCGACACCCCGCCCACGAGGAAGGCGGCACTGACCGCCGAGGGGCAGCACGGGCCAGTGAAGAAGCCGACGTCTACCGTGCGCACCTTCAGCTCGAACGTGAAGCTGTTCGGTGGTCGACCCTCCCTCATCAAGGCCGCCGCCGCGGCGTCGGCGGCGAGAGGTCTCGGTGGCGGCCCCACCATGAGACGCACGAACAGCCCGAACGACGAGCAGAACGCGGGCGTGAGGCGCACCCGGACGTGCTCGCTCTCGAGCGAGACGGCGGTGGCGTTCGCCGTAGGTCTGACAGCCACAACGCCCCGGGCCGCGCACCGAATGGCAGGCGGCACAACATCCTCCGAGGAATAAAAACTAGACCCATGCGGCTTGTGAAACATCCGTACATCGCCAGCGACGATGTCGAGATCTAAGTCCCCGTTGGCCCTCTCGCCTTCGGGTTCCACCGCCTGGTTGAACCCAGGCGTACCCAAGTGGACGTCTTCGACTTCCAGCTCCAGCTCGAACGGAAGGTGGAGTGTCACGGTCGACCCGCGGATGTCGAACTCGAAGGGCTGGCTCCGTCTCCGTGCGGCGGCGGTGGCACTCGGCAAGCAACGAGCGGCTCTAGCCGTCCACTCTTTCGAGGCCAGCATGATGTCCTCCACGACCTTCTTGGCGTTCATGTGGTGCAGCCTGGCCGACTTGAACACGGTCGCCAGCTTCACGCCGCCGACCCCTTCGCTATCACCGGAGACCTCCAGGGTCCAGGACAACCCTTCGTCGCTGCCTTCACCCCGCAGTGCCTCGAGCACCACCACGTCGGATGGCATCACGGAGGATTCCCCTTGCAGCGGCACTCCGGCGCCCATGCGACCGACGCTTAGACGACGCATGTTCCCGGTCAACTGACAGCCGCCGCTTTTCACCACCCCGCCAACGCTTACACCTTCAAGTGCGGCTCCTACACCGCGGGACCAGCCGCGATTCCGGTGGACTCTAGGCGCGCAGATCTCACCGACACTAATAGCTAGCGCGTCCGGGTAGACCCCGCCCATTTTCCTCGCCAGCACATATGCTTCCAGGACCAGCAGGGCAGCTCCAACGCTGACACACACTTCCCCGGACTCGAGGGACGCATTGAAGAGAAAGTCAGGCGCGCTATACGTACCCACCGCCGTCGGTTCTGTGTCTCCGACGAGCTTACTCAAAATCTCAGCCGTCACGCGGGCACCGCCTAGCCGTACGAGACGCCGTATGCCAGCCGTGTTGCCGCCAGCTAGGAACACTTCCTGGGCTAGTGAACGCGACATCAGTGGCGGAGATCCTTGTCGTCCCAGGGGTGCGCTCTCGTCGGCAGCTTGGACTGACCCATCAATAAGTACGATGGACAGGTTGCCGAGCACCAGCGAGCACAACCTCTGACTCTCCTCGTCGCGCTGGCGCTGTGGGGCGGTTGCCACAAAGTGCTGCTCACCGCCTCCACAACCATACAACGCCGACTCAGAACCACTGAGCTCGAGCTGGCTCAGCGATAGCACGCAGAAGGCGGGCTGGTCACGCGAACGATCGCCTACGTTCTCGCCCGCTTCGTGAGCCCCCCCAGCGAGGCCCAAAGCCACCTCGACAGACCGCAACGCGAAGTGCAACGATGTTTCCGAGGAAGAATTGACAGGGCGGGGAGGCAACGTCCTAGGACTCGACAGCGCCGAGCCCGAGCCTGCATCTGAGGCCCGTGGCGACAGGCGACTTGCTCTGGGCGGCGGCCTTCCCTGCACCGAAGCCAAGGCAACGGGCGCGATGGTGAGCGGTGGCGTGGTGGCTTCGTCCTCGCCGCCCGGGTCTCCTCCTGCCGGCTCCGTCCCCCCGGCTTCCCCGCCGACAACCCCGAAAAACTTCAAGAGCTTCTCCAGCAACAGCTCCGCGAGCTGAACTCGGAGGGCACCCACGGCCAGGTCATGGCACGCCAGGGTCGACACGGTGCCGGTGATAGCGACGCCGCCACTATCAGGAGACCCATCAGTCGAGGTGCCGCCGCCCTTCCGCTTTAGTAACCTATACTGCAAGGCGCTGCTATCCTTTGGCACGGGCCGCGGCGCTGCCGAAGGGAAGACCTGCGCCCACGGCGCCGGAGCCGGCGCCGGGACGTCTGGCGCAGGAGCTCGGGCGCTCTGTCGCGACGAATTGCTCTCACCGTCGATAGACTCGCCGTCGGCGGCTCCCAATTCGGGCGAGCCTTGCGCAAGCTCGATCAAGCACCGCTGAACGATCGCCGCCGTCCTGAGGTCCGCTAAACCATCCGTCCTTCCGCTACCGAGATCTCCTTCCTGCGAAGTAGGAGGAGCGTCGGGCATGACCGCGGCGCCCCACGACACGACGGGCTCAAGATAGTCTAGCCCCTTGTCCGCCTGGTCAGGAGGCTTGTCGGCAGCAGGGGTGGCAGCGTCCTCAAAAAGGCGAGCGTGTCGCACAACGATGGACGAAACGTCCACCTTCACGTCCGTCGAGAGCTCATTGTCGCCTGCAGACATCGTACAAGGTGGCGAAGGACGTGCGGTACGAAAAGAAGTGGATGACCAGCAAGGGGGAGATCTGTCAAATGTTAATGGCATACACTTTCGAGCGGCGGTACATGCTAAGCTCGGGCCTGCATCGTCCAGGCAAAGCAAACTGTTGGCATGCCCAGATACAGAACAGAGAGCGCGAGAACTTGTGTTAGACGGCCAAAGCGAAGGACGGAACAACAGCTCGTTAGATGCTTTCACCTAACCCCAATCTCATTCGTAATTTGACAACTGCTGGGAAAAACACGCGTCCCAGGAGGATCATGGAGCGAGGCGGGTAAAAATCATCCCAGAGCAGCGTCGCACTACCCTGCTGTGACTCACTTGGCAGGACGTGAGCGTCTAGCGCAAGACCTTTCACTTCCGCCACCACGAACACGAGTGGCGGTCGTAGGGTTTGTTTTCTGCGAAAGGGAAACGCGATGACGGATGTTGGTAGGCTGTCAGGGTATATGTATCGTTTATGTATCACTGGCCACGACAACCTGTGGCATTGACGCGAACGTTTATCGACACGAATCAGCCCCAAGAAAAAAACAGCACACAAAAGTGATTCATTCATTCAACACCTTGACGACGTGACTGCCAGTCAAGGTGAGCCCGAACTACTTTGCCCGGGCCTGGGCTTGGGCTCAACGCATCATGTCAAAAGCGGCACGCCAGACATAGACCGCCTCCTTGTTGCACAATAACCTAGCGGAAGTTACATACCCGCCAATCTTCCCACCTTGCGCTGACTGGGGTAGAGAAGACACTGACGGTGCCCAGCCCGTGCACCGGAACAGATATCGACAGAGGTTCTTCATCCTCCGGCGAGTTGCATTCCTCCTCCTCCCCCCTCTCTGTTGGCTCCGCGTGGGCCGGTTGCTCCTGGTGCTCAAACAAACGAAGAGAGACGCTACCGACTGACGCCGACGCCACGACAAACTTGGTGTGGTACTCGCGTGACTCGAAAGGCGCTGGGTTACGTAGGCCCCCAGCAGCAAAGACGAAGAGAAGCAGCAAAACATGGACGAAGTGTTCAGCTGACAAAGTAATCAACGGGGATGGCACAGCAGCGAAACGAACTGCCGTAGTCTGCCCGCATGACGCTGAAAACTTCAACAAGACGGAGTGGTTGCATGCTCACCTGGACTGCTCGTGCCGAGCGTTCCATGGTTCATCTCAGTGCTGGTCGTCTCTGTGCCCCCCTCCGGCAGGCCTTCGTCGATGTCTTCGGGCGCAGTTCCCTGAGAAAGAGCGACACGCCGAGGCATATGAGTTTCTTCGTAACAACGTAGGACTGGTCGAATCTCGTTGTGAGCCTGTATAACAGCAAGTTCGTTCATCTGAGGGCAGCAGCTATCGAACTACGCCCCCCAAACATCTCTCGACTCGTCTACATATCGTTGTACGCGTTCCTCTCGCAAACGTTGTGCATGCCTCTCTGGTTTGTGGGCAGGTGGTTTCCCCAGGGCGACTCGTGACCCAAGCCGACCATCTCACCCGCCAGAAAGAAGGCCACCAGCTTGACGCGACTTGTGCTTCTCCCTCAGCCACGGCACTAGGAGGAGCTCCTTGGATGGGGGACTCGGCGTGAGTGTTTCGACGGGCATTGAGGGCGACATGAGCAACTGCTCTGTCGATGAGCTCCTTCATCATTCGCACCTGTAGATTGCTGGGAAAGGCCAAGGGTGGACGAAAGTCGGGCGCGCCCAGGGCGAAACACGAGATCATCAAGACTATTAAGTTTTCGAATTTCACGGTGTGTTCGCGTGGAAATGTGCTCTGGTAGGACACGGCATACCCCAAGCTAATGCTCAATACTCTTGACAACGAAAAAGGTCACCTATACGTTAACATGGGCTACTACTCTCCGACTGGGAGGTAATTCACACACTGCTGTATGACCCCGCTACGCGGACGTGTTGATCAATCTGCCGAGGCTTCAAATCCCATGCATGCTGCCTGTCCCGCCACGTGATCAGGCGCCCGGCGCGCAAATTCCTCGACCACCACGGTGTGCCTTATGTAGCAGGCGCTTACCTAAGCGAGAACGAGAGGTCCGCGATCAAGACGTCCGCCGTGATGATCGGGATCGGCATCGTCCTGCCTTCACCGTGATCGTCCCCGACGCCCACGTCCGCCCCGTCCTCTTCTTCCCCGCCCCGGTCCTCGCCGTCCCGCGGGATGGACGGACGCACCCTCTCCGTGGAAACCCCGGAGGCCTCGTTTCGGCTCCAGGCGACCTCCCCGTCGAAAAATGGGGAGTACAACGAGGAAGGCCTGCGAGACCACCCGTCCCCCAGCAGCCGACAAACGGTCGGGATGGGCAGCTCGTCGATCTCTCCTTCCGGTTCCGCCGAAGTGGGCGTTGCCCCAGACCCCGCGCGATCGACGACGCTTGTCGAATCCTCGGCCCCCCCGGTTCCGCCACCGACAAGCCGCCCGAGCACGGTGACCGGCGGTCGGGCAGTCCTCTGATGGAATGCGGGCGGGCGAACAACGGCTGGGTACCTAAGCTATCATGAGGTTTGCGCCAATGTGACACGCTTGAACAGCAGACCTGTGCACCGCAACTTAAGGCGTGGTTTTTGGGCGAAGGCTATATTTACATCAGAGACGTACCACTGGGGAGTACAACGCGACATAACGACGAGATATTCCTGCAGATTGTGTTTCAAACAGACCGAAATGACGACTCAGGAATGGGTGTCGGTGTGGATGCAATCTAGCACTACCTGGATAAGAAACCTTTGCCAAGATGCGCCGTGCTCACTGTTCCACTCCCCCAGAAGTCTATCTACACAACAGATCACCAACACTTTTTGCGCAGCCTGGATAACCAAGAAAGCTTGTATCTGAGCGCGCTAGAGCAGCACGCTCAATTTCTGCTCCAGGGTGGCACCATGTCACCGCCTCAACCAACGCCGGACATGGGTATCAACCTTACCGGCACTGGTGGTGACCTGGCACCCTCCCCTGCCCCCCACTGCAAACCCCATCGCGCCCCCGCCCTGCCCGGCGACGGCGGTACCCCCGTAGCGCCGAATTCAGTATCCTCCAGCCTTTCCCCTTGCTGCGTTTGCTGGTCTTCCCACGCCGCAAACGAGGACTCCGGCGGGCCCGGCGCGACGAGCCACACGCAGGCCAGAAGATGCACCTCAAAGGACGCGCGGTTGAGGATGGGCACCTGCGGGGAGAAAAAAAACGCCGCACGGGCAGCAAAAAGAACACGCTTTAAGGACAACACGTGGGGTTCCCGGAAGGCACGTTTCGTTGTGGGCGGGGGGGGGTAGGCTTCTGGGATGCTTGGTACTTGAGATACGAACGCCCCCCGAGAAGACCGACCAGATGTTATGACAGAGAGAGGAACATTGGCAGGACAACAGACCGGTTTTTATTTTGCGCAGCAGCTGACGTTTGTTGTTGGCCAAGTGTTAAAAGGTTCTGCACAACCTCTCCACAGAACCTAGATAGAGTGCCGACGATTGCACTGTACGGGAAGCACGGTGGAAGGGAGCGAGATGCAACCCGTATCCTGTAAGCGTGAGGAGCAAAGCTGTACGTGAAGCATCGACCGTTGTGTCGATGGCATGCTTGCCTGCTGACACCTCACCATCGACACACCTTTTTGACGTAAAAACCAACCACAACATAACAATTCATACGAGGCAGTTGTACGCTACTGCAGCCACGACCAAGTCTAAACGGCGCTGAAGCCGGCCGGAGCACCTCAAAGGCCTGGACTTGTCTTCTCCTCGAGGAGTCTGGAGCGCAGTAGCGGTCAAGACACACGGTCAAGTCGCTGGCGTGTACCAGCTTATGCAAGAAGCCGAACGGGTCGTCCAGGCTGGCGAACGCCGGAGTCCACTCTCGGTCGGGATCCGCCGAGAAGCAAACCAAGGACTGTTGAGGTTGGACGTGCAGGAGGCAGGCGGCGTAACTCTTCATCACTGCTGTAGCGTTGTGATACTGCTGCACTACCAACTCGGGCGTTGCTGTGTTGCCTCTGGCCATCGATAACAACAAATCCGGCGACTCTCCTCCAGGCTCCCCCCGTGCCTCCATATCTCGTCGGAGGGTGTTCGTCGGAAACGCACGGTAAGGCATGGTGCACGTGGTGCAAGCAGGACAGCAACATTGTTGCACGATCCAGCTTGTTGGACTCAGCTGTCAGCTGTGGTGCCTCTCAGCTTGGAAACGCGGCTAGTTACCTTTAGAGCAGCAGAAAGCACAACATCCGCATCTTCGTACTTGAGCACCAGGTTAGACACCTAAACCAGCACATAAAGCGTACAACGATATCAGGGGGGTGGCAGGTGGTAGTGACTGGTCAGTGGGTAGTGGTTGGTGACGTGGGGGAGTCCAGCATGGGTCGGCTGTGGAGAACATGAGAACTCTTCATTCTAGCAGCTGTCACACTACAATATTAGCTCTTGGGAACGAAGCCCTCTGTCAGCTTGGTTTGTACACAGTTTGCGACAAGCGCGCGTTTGCGAAAGCGCAAGAACGCAGACAGAAGACCTCGTCCCCAAGTTCTCTTTACCACGTTTCTGACGAGCCGGCACAACAAAACGTATCGTATTAACGAACAAGGGGTTTCTTTCTCACCCACAACGATACCACGGCCAACGCAAAACTTAACAAATTGAATGCGCGTGGCGGTAGCTACATCAAGAGCGGGAAGGATTTACCTCGATGGACATGTTCGCGAGGACCTTGGTCAAGAGCTGCTGCATCCACCCGCTCACCCCCGCCGGAGCAGCCTGCTCTTCTGTCGACCTGCCGCTGAAATCAAGACGAAAACGAGGGGCCCAGCATCAGAAGTGGCATCAACCGCTGGGCCTCAACCACTGGGTGAAGGTTACAGCAACACTGAATACCGATCTCTTTGCGGTTGTGCCCGCACTCTTGCAGGTTCAGCTTGTTTTAGATAGGAAGTAAGGCGATGCACCATTCCAAGCCCCCTCCGATCATACATCACGGGCTGCTGCTAGCTGCTACATATCCCACACAGCCCGCAACAAGGCCAACAGCAAAAATAGGTGTCCACTTTGCCTACTTGGAGAAGAATTGCACACGAGCGCAAAGCAGCGCAACCAGCAACCTACCCGTGGGAATCGCAGTGATCAGCCCGAGCTTAACAAACCGCTCCGCTTAACTTGGGCTATTGTAAGGCTAATTTTACATTCTGTGTTGCGTCTTCCGCACAACGTGCATTTCCAGACGCACCCATGTCTGGAGGGTGGCCCCGTTCTGGATCGCCGAGTCGAACCCGAGCGATGCGAGGCCGCATGCGTGATAGGGGTTATGATGATCTCGACGGTCTTGACCTTGATTTCGATGGGCCGAGACTGGAGCCGGGTCCACGGGATGTGAATCCGTAGCTCTTTAATAAAACCCCTGTTGCAGAGCAAGCGGAGCACGTACAAATGTACCACACCCGAAAATGAGGTCAAACAAGAAGACGAATCGTAATAGTTACGGACGCGGCGGTTCACTTGGGAACTAAATAAATAAGAGACACCGTAACACATTCTGGCATGCAGGGAGCTGTGGTTTCTGCCGCTGTGTTATTGCATTGAGACAACAGTGTTGATTTTGGATGAGTTCTTTGCTTGGGTTCAAAACACAAGCGCTGCTGGGCACACCAGAACAGCTCATACCCCAGGGCTTGTCTACAGCTGCCGATGTTGTTGGAGGCAACTTGCTGCTCGCCGATGCGGGAGAATTCGGAACTCAGCGACGGTGCTTGATGCCGTGGTACCTGCAAGGTTTTTGCACACTCGCCGGTATCCTAAAAGTGCGACGCAACCTCCACTTCACTGCTTAACATCAGTCCCGCCGCTGCCTGAGAGTTGCAAGGTAAATACCCTGACGATTGGCGATGCAGTCCAATCGTAGTTCTACAGTGAAAAAACACCGCTCCGTGCCTTCTCACCTTGAGAAGTCGTAGTCGGTGCTGATGCCTCCGATATCGTGGAGAACGTCTTTGCGGAGCTCTACATAAGCCGCCACGGAGAGGACACGGAATGCACCGGGCAGGGAGGGCGCGTACTCATGTTTTGCATGCCTTTAGTTGTTAAGACCATTGACCAACCGCCAAGCGGGGGAAGATAAGGGGGGTGGTTGGTTTATGGGAACTACCTTCACAGGAATCGACGGCGTTTTGCGCGCTTGTCGTCCGCTGCAAGGGCAAAACCTGATTTCTATGCATTAATGAAGCACAACTTGAACAGTTTCAGAGACATTCGTTCGGGTTTAGGATTGATTGGATTTGGTCTGTTTATCGTCCACACGATACGAAAACACGGCCTTAGACCACTGTTTATGGCAAAAAAATCTTGATCTTCCTCTCTTTCGACAAATGTTGAATTTTTGGACCTTTTGGGCAGTCTGCCTCCCGAACGAGTGCGAATCAGCTGTTCGACCTTTGAGAACAGTCACAGCTTTGGCTGAGATGTCTACAGATCGCCTACATGTTTCGCCAGGGTTCACATTTGATTTTTTTCCAGCAGAGCAAGATGTTGAAGATTCGGCCGAAAGGCCACCTCGGAGCAAATCTTGGGCCAAGATCTGTCCAAAAGCTGGTTTTGGAAAAATCTTGCGTGAAAATTGTGAACCTTGAAAAAATCAAACGTGGACCCTGGCGGAACATGTAGGCGATCTGTAGACATCTCAGCCAAAGCTGTGACTGTTCTCAAAGGTCGAACAACTGATTCGCACTCGTTCGGGAGGCAGACTGCCCAAAAGGTCCAAAAATTCAACATTTGTCGAAAGAAAGGCAGATCAAGATTTTTTTGCCATAAACAGTGGTCTTAGGTGTGTACATTGAGAAAGTAGCGTGTGCGCTGCGAGCCGTGAAGAAGAATCTGGTGCGCTATAAGTGCGTTATGCGCATCACCTACCAAGGTTTTCCAAGACAACGTCGCCTCCCATGAGCCCCAGCTCCTCCAGCTCGATGTTGTGGATGTACTTGGACAGCTGCTGCTGAAGAACCCGCATTAGCACCGCCTTGAGGGGTCCCAGCAGTATATCCGAGAAGGCCCTCATGATATGTGGACGAGCCCCCTGTTGGGAACAGCAGACAAGCGCAGCGCCCGATAGGATCACATTGCATCTATGCTATAATGTGCAGATGCCGGCACAAACGGGGAACCATTTAGAGTCTATCCTACACAACTGTGTATGCGCCACACATTCTCTCCGCACTCACCTGCTACACACAAGCAACAGAGGACTAGTCTACATTACAAAAAGCACTTATACATTACACCAATACGTCTCGGAGTCCAGTAATGGCTGCCGTAGATTGGTGCATGTTGTTGCAGACGACACACGCCGCAGTAGCCACTCTACATGCATATCTCTGGCGCTGGGTACCCTCCGCCCTACTGGCCATTCGAGCGTGAAGCAGGCAGTTGACAGTGTGCAATTGAACGCCCCAAGTTGGAGCAGGTTCCTACGTTCCGACGTATCTCCGTCCTGCTTTGGCCACCTCTCACAGCGTTTGGGATCCGCCCTCTGGCTTATGGCCACTGCAATAAATCACGACGAGGTCCGAACCTAGCAGCTACTCACCTTGAACCGCGCAGCACGCGGAGCCGAACTGGTGCAGTGACACGGAGCTCAGCCACTGCACTACTCCCACAATCAAGCAGCAATCAAGATGCTCCTGGTCTGTGGTTGGGGGGCACCCGCACAGTGCAGAAATCACGGAGGTTTTCAATATACATGTGGTTCAGCAGGCTTTTATCAAGTGCGGCGGAGATACAAAAAAAAAAAGCGTATGCAAAGCACAGAGTACACAAGTGGAGTAGCGAGGGTTGAACTCGGACCTCGAGATCGAGGCCACACCCGCAAGGAGCCATGACACGAAGACCTTCGACGTTGGCTTTGGTGTTGAGCCATCGTGGGTGCTGTTGCCTGCTGTTGGCATGGGTGGTTGCTTGCTCGGAAGTCGTGTCAGGGTCAGGGGCCCACACGTTCGTTGCCAAAGCTGCAGGACACAGCAGCAGTGGTTCAGCCTCGGCTCAGGCCCACTCCAGGTGAGAGTTGGACCACTACAACGCATCGCCCACACGGCTCTGAAAAGAAGGAGCAACTCATCTGCACAGTCGTTTCTTTTCGCTACGGCACTCATGATTTTGGCCCTGGTTCCCAGTCACACATCCTTGACGTTCTGTATGCCTCTCGGTGTAAACGTGTAATTGCCACAGACCGTTGTACGAGGCGGCAGCATCGGCAGGGTCAGCAACAACAGACGTAGAAGCAGCAGGCAACAGTAACACCAAACACAACCGCGCGTTTGCGTGGGCGCGACCAAGAGGGGATAGCAGCAATAAAAGAAGTACAGGCCGAGTGGAAGGGTCGCCGCGCGGCAGTGGGGGGTTGGGGGGCTTACTAGCGTCGTGGGGGGAATCAACGAAGGAACCCATCGCAAGATGGAAAGCACGGCATGGCAGCCTCTTCGCCCATGAGAACGTTAACCGGAAGGCTCAGGCGGCGGCGAGAGCGGCGGGGATGCGCCCGGATTACAAGCTGACGTTTTGGGGCTGCATGGTGGCGGGGGCGGTCAGTCGAAGGCGAGAAATCTGACGCATCATGTGCAGGCTGTAGTCTAGCCGTGGACACACTTGGGTCCGCGTATGTCGGTTTATGTCGGAGTAGACCATGCCGCCGGTCTTTGTTGGTCAACTTTGCGTCGAAGTTGAGGGTTCCTGCTTGTGTGGTACTGCTGCACTGCAGTACCGTTTTGCGTACGAGCCTGTGCAACTTGAGTGAATAAACGTTCAACTGAAGCTTGCCATTCAGTTGCGATGTACTGTATGTGAGTATCGTCACATTACTGGGCGCCGCCAGTCTATGCATTACGACATACCCCATACCCTTGTTTGACGCGGGGTCACCAGGAGGCACGTGGTAGTAGCTGATGATGACAGAAACTGGGTTAACATGTGGCCGCTGGCGTCTTCATGCCGTCCATACCACACCAGGCAATACTTTAACCAATGGGGTAGATGGCATCGCTGTGGGTGTGCGCGAACAAGTATCTACATAAAGCATCCCTGGTCCGAGGTGATGTAGGAGCCCTCACACCGAATCGTGTGTCTTGTTCCTGTCGTCGTATGCATGCACCCTCCCCGTCTGTTCCCTCAGCGTGGCGCAGACATCGCTCCACCCGGCAAACGTGATCAAGACGCTGCTGCAGACGAAGGGGTCTTTCAGGGCGATTCTTCCCCTGACGTGGACCACTCTCTCAAGGGGGGCGGGGGCGCAGTTCTTGCTGTCGCTGCCAAACGGGGCTTTGCATTTCGCCGTTTTGGAGGTTGGTGACCGTGTAGAGACACGCGTTCGTAGCGGGCGGTGATGGGCGAGGCGATTTCCTCCATGAGGCATGACGCTTCTGTAGAAGACCGAACCCGGTTGTAGCTTTGTGAGAACTACATTACAGAGTGTAGTCACGCTCCGTTCGAGCAGCGCAGCATTCTGAATGTCACCGCACCTTGCAACCTCCCGGAACCGTCGTAGTTGTCAACATCTGGATGTTGTGCATACTGGCGGGTGAGTCCGTTCTATTGGTGCCGAGCCTCGTCCTGGTGCTAAGGTTTACGCAGTTTAGTGTGCAGGTGGCGTGACAGCGAAGGCATGGCATGAACGGTCTTCTTCATTTTGGTTTCTCAGGTGGCTATCCTATCTCGTAGTCCATGTGAGGGCACGGCCTTTGTCCAGCTGTCCGAACAAGTTCGAGCGTTGCCTGACACAATTAGATCCTGGTAATTTTGGATTCCGGAAGCCCGGCACATCAGTTGTGTTGCTGCTCTTTGCCTCCTTCGCTCGTATGGAAAACCGTCGCCCGTGTGCAGGAGATCCCGGGAATGGTGTACGAAAACACCAAGTAGGTTGCATGGAGTCAACCTTGAATTCGCTGGTATTAAAACCGACAAGTTCGGTATGACTCCGTGCCTTTCCACACAATTTCTGAACGATATCTGCCTCTTCCTCCGCTCCTCTTTCGTGCAGAATACCAAATCAAGGATGGCCGAGATGTTCCCACTGAAGTCAGCGTCTTTCCTGCTGGATTTTGCTTCTTGCTCGGTAGCGACGGCTCTGTGCTCTGTCATGAGCACACCTCAGGTAAAACGAACTACTTACTTGACTGTCTGTGGGGTTGCCGCTGCGGGCGCATGACTTATCTTGTGGCGGAGTACCTACACGTCAGATCTATCTACCCCCCTGGCGCTTGTTTTCGCACTGCAGTTGATTCCACCGAGTTTGCAGAGGCACAACAACTGCAGCAAGGATGGGTAGAGGGTCACATGGCATGGGGCACATTTTGGATTTGCGAGCAAGAGGTGTACGCATTTCCAGTTCGCCTCGTTGGTCGCATTCGTCCTTACATCGGCCGTCCAACATACCTGCATCTTTTCATGTGTTTCGCCTTCTGAACTTTTGTGTGTCATTGTTTCTCTCGTAAAACCTCGCTGCCGGCACCTCAGATGGTTTTGACCAATAGGATCATGGCGGGGGTGTACCCGAACCTGTGGACAGGTGTTCGGAGCATCATCCAGGAGAAGGGGGCGCTCGGTTTCTACGCCGGGTGGTGGCCGGGGCTCGTGCAAAAGATCCCCTCGTACGGGTTGACGTGGGTTTTGTTCCAGCAGGTGAAGGACTTGCACTACAGGATGGCGAAGCGCTTGCCCTCCAATGCGGAGAACTTCTGGCTCGGGTGAGTGGGTGCGGTATCGGTGCTGGCGTTGCCCGCCTCTCTTGAGGTCCAGCCAGGACCCTTTGGTGCCTTGGTGTGTTTCCGTTCACAGGGCGACATGTCGTCAGAAGTAGCGAGTTATGTCGGCCGGTGTTCTCGCTCACTACATGTACGGAGCTAGAGAAAGGAAGGCGACGGGGCATTTCGATCTTGCCAAGAATGCGCGAACACGAACCTAAGAAGCGGAGGGAGCGTGGAACGGCGAAGAGACGTTCCCGGCACTGCCAATGGCTTGTGCGGTGCTGGCGATGGTATGATCGATCGGATTCCTATTTAATATGGGTATGTCTTGTACCCTTTTTTTCGTCGGTGCGCAACGATTTACACGCGGAGCTTCTGACGAGGTAGATCTCCAGGTAGCTCACACCTGGTAGACGTGTGCGGACCATGGTCGTGTCTGCACCAAAGGTATTTACTGCTGTTGCTCCATCCGGCACGCGTCTCGACAATCACATACACAAACATGTCGAGACATGAGGTGATGTGCCTCGAGAGGGGCTGGCCCCTTCAGGTGTTCTGTCCCCACGTGTGAAACTGTTTCGTTGTATGCACAGTATAGCGGTTTCCGGCGATATCAATCTACGTTCGAAGCGTGGGCATTCCAGGGCTAGAATCGTGTGTGGCCTCTCGAGGCCGCGATTTTATTCCCGTTGGGATCCAGCCCTTGGTGGACAGGGGGTTCCCGCGCAATGAAAGTTTGTCACCCCGTCTACCTGGGCATCCCTGCCGCCCGTTCTTCGACCCAACGCAAACGAAAACAGATGCATCGCAGCGGCGGGATCGGTGACGATCATGATCCCTATGGACACAGTCAAGGTACGCTGTATGGCTTGTGCGACTCTGTTTCGAATGGCGGGAGGGTCGGTATCACAGCAGTGACCATGGCGTTTGGCTAGTCACCTTGGAATTGGTCGGGCTACGGTGCTTGGTTCCCATTTGGCTGGTAAAGTCGTGCCCTTAGATTGGGCGCAAAAACCATGTGCAGAGTATGGAAGCGAATGCATGGTGTTGCCATGTTTGGTTTCGCGAGTTTTCAATGTTGTAGGTGCTGTGATGCCGAGGGTACAGATCAACCGCTACGCTCGTCCGCGCCATTGCTGTCGTTTGGAGGATACTTTACGCGCAGAGCCCAACGCTTGACCGTTGCGCGTTGAAATGCTGACAGTCCCGCCCAACTCCACCCGCGCTCGCTGATTGCCGACCCTCGACCCGACAGACTCGTCTGGTGACCCAGTCGAGCGCATCGACCGTGATGTACAGCGGGATCTTTAACTGCTTCACGAGGATGCTGCGGGAGGAGGGTTTAACTTCTTTTTACAATTCGTTATCGCCGCGCCTCGTGAGCGTCGTTCCCATGATCGGCGTTCAGTACCTGTAAGTCTCCGCTTTGATGTTGCGCTCCCTACCAAAGTATCGTTCCGCGTCTAGTTTGGTCACGTCTACACGGCAAGGTGTTCGGTGCAATTTTATGCGGACGATCATGGCGTATCTGTATTTCTTTATGAAACCGCCCATGCGCCTACGATGTGTAACTCCTCGAGGTACGATGTATGACGTAGGCTGAAACCAGAGAGTAATGGAATCCAGGTGGTACAAGACTCCTGCCCCCCCCCCTCTCTTCGGAGCTCATGAAGATGGTCAAGACATTTTATTGCTCCGGACCGTTGACAAAAGTGAACATACCAGTTCCACTCTTCCGTGGAACACTTGGTTGGGTACACGAGCTGTGATGCAATGCCCCCCGCCACTTGTCGTGAAGTGATGGCCAACGACACGATTTCATACCTCTCCCCCCCCCCCCCC